GCCCCAAGATACGGCCCGAGCCGCATCCCGGAGTTGCCCCCTGGTCGATTTGGTCGATTTGGTCGATCTGGTGGTGAAACAATCACCGATCCTGGAGGATTTGCCACCCCTGAGGGTGCTATGGATCTCAGATTCAGATCCATAGTGCGGACGCATCTGCACAATTCGAAATGTACCGTCCAGTAAACAAACGTAGCTATTGAAACTGGTCATTTTTAGTTGATTTACCTATTGACAATGGTGATTTTCCAGTTCGCTATGTAAACGTTTACCAGTTCGCGTATGGTTTTTTACAAAACAAGGCTATGCGGTCACAGTTGTGCGCATCTTATCACCGAGCAATGCTGCGGCAAATCCGAGAAACCCGGCTTCACCCCATCGGCCGTGTTGGCTGGTGGGTAGCAGTGGTATGTGCGGGTGAAGCACTGCAAAGGGAGCCTTTGGAAGCCCGCAGTTTGTTCACATTGATCTGATCGAACCTTGGGCGGGAAAAGGTGGGGTCTTCCCCTTGGGCGGAGAGGTGTTTTCAGAATCGTGATGGATATTGATGGTACCACATCGATTGTTGGCTAAAAAAAAACGGCTTGGGGCGGCTTTCAGGGAGATACTGGGCTGGTAAGGCTGGGATGATTCTATGCAGCCATGGTGGATCATGGCAAGGTGGCTCCACCCCGCATGGATTTGGCATAAAAGTCGTGCAATTCAGACAGTCCAGGATATTCCAGGAATCTCTCTAGCACATGTTTGAAAAAAAAACTCCCGATTCGCTTTGGTTTCACCAACATTTCACCCAAAAATGGCAACTCCAAAGCCTCCCGTCACTTGGTAGTTAGCAATAATTCTCACAATTCACCTCTGATATTCAGACTATCAGAAATGATTATTATTGGTGATTGTTGGTGATTATTGATGATTGTCAATAGAAATGATTGGTGATTCTCATCATTCTAATTACTATCGTTAATGATTATATATATATATATCATTCTCGTTCCTATTGTTAATGATTGTATATCCTTCTCATTACTATTGTTATTGGTGATGATTCAATTCAGCCAAAACCACACTTTGACAAAAGCGTTCCCAGAAGCTCTTGGAGGCGTTTCTCAATCACCTTCTGCAGCAATTGTTCGGAGGTGATCTCCTGCCATGACATAGCAGGGGAAAGCACCATGGAAGATGCGCAGAGGGATCCCTCTGCGCAACGGACTCTATCGCCGAGGTCCAACTCAACCCCCAATTTTTGTTGGAAATGGTCACCAAAAAAAAACAAGAGAACAAAAATGGAACCAGAAGCAAGAGTGCAGAAAAAACAGAAAAATAGGAACATGAGTCAAAAGTTTGGTACTGGGTCTTCACGCTACCTGGTAGCTCGCCTGACTCTGGAGGTTTATCAAACCATGGTCCCAAAGGTGAACAGACTAATCCCGACCAGTTTCAGCTGGATCATTCACACTTTGGAAAATCATTGAAAACCATCCAACATCCCGAATTTCTTGGGCTGTAATCAAAAACCATCAGCCAAAAAAAGAAGTCACGAAGTAAATACCATCAAAACAAACCTCTGGAACTGGTTCGGTCCTTCGTGAACTGTTTCAGCTGCCTGCGCACAGACACGAATTGTTGCCGTCAAGTCTAGGCACGTCTCAAAAGCCTTTCCACCAAGATTTAGCGTGCTGATGGGTACCACATCTACATCCACGG